CCATGATATGTTTAAGAAATCTTTTCATTTTCATGGTCAGTAACCACAATCCTGTCTTCCGTATCTGCGATTCTGTACTCATATTGGATCATTCTGCTGTATATACTTTCCAAAGAATTTTTAATCTCCTGGATGTCTGTTTGAATCTGTTTTATAGATTCCATTTTTTTCCTGTGTTGAGCATTAATAGCTTCCATCATTTTCCGAAGTGCCTCAATTTTTTTCAAATCTATATCTGCTTTAGAGTCGCTAACTATATCTTTCATTATGATCACCATTTCTGTAGTTTTCTGAGAGATTATTTCTGATGTAATTTTTTAGAGCCTATTGATTTGCTTTGTTACTTCTGATGGTATCACCTCAGAGAATCAAAGTGGAGAGCTTTTGTATTACTTCACCTCATTTTCCCCTGCATTTGCCTTTGGTGAGCTTGCAGTCTGGGGTAGCATCTTGTGTTACGTGTCTTCTTATTTATCTATTTAGTTAGTTTGTTTAGTTTAATACTTGGGTTGACACTTATAAATTGCTTATGGCGCGTAGTTTATTTCTAGTAGTGAGAACCTTTAGGAAGCAACTACTTCTCAGAGATGTCATCTGAGTATAGCTAGATTTTGGGTTTTGAGTCTGTTGCAAGATCCTGCCTCTTTGATTTATTGGGGATAAGAATTTGCTGCCTACTTGACCCTGCCTCTGCTTTTTTATTTATTTATTTATTTTTTTGGCACTGGCCTATAGTATTTTTTATGACCCTTGGGAAATCTCAGTCTTGGCAACCAGTAAGAATGTCATCTTGGCTGAAGCAGTGTTATTAGGAATAACAATAGCATCAAATACAGCCTAGAAAATGACAAGCTGTGGTTCCTTTTGTCATCTGCAACTATATGAACTATATTTGTGATTGTAGAACAAAATCTAAAAGAATCCAGAAAATTATATCAGCCAATATGCCTTCAATATGTTGATTTTACCCTCAAAGGAGAAAATTGTAAAGTGTTGGGGGAAAAAACAGAAATAAAAGAAAAAGAAAAGATTAGAAGCAATGCTAGAAGACGAAGAGTACATTAACATCAGGAAACTGGTGAGGAAGACAAGGGAAAGAGAGAAGGAAAAAATAAAAACAAGAAGAGAAGAACAAAAAAACTAAAACTAATGTTCACACTCAGAAAACTAGGAAAAACTAAGGAAAAAATGCAAAAAGAAAAACAAGAAATGAAAAAAGAAGAAAAGAAAAATTATACACTTCTGAGTGCATCTCTGCTGTCACATGTAGACAGTGCAGGCAGCCAGGGCCCAGATTAGTGCTGATTTATCTCAGCAAACTGGATGTAGAAATACAGGTATAACAGGTAATCTCAGCAAGCCTGCATCTTTAGTTCCACTGAAGCTGAAGTTGGTTTCTGAGTGTGAGGCTAGAACCTAATTTGTTTGGCCTTAAACATTCTGTGTGCCTCCTGCAATCTTGAACTCAGCTACTTGACTTCTTGTTAACTTGAACTAGATTCTGCCTCACATAACACTGGGAACTGCTCAGTGGAGTCAACTCACAGCTGCTCTACGTTTCAAACTTAGCCCGTCTCCAAGATTGCTACCAGCCAATTGTCCTTCTGGAGGACATCTGAACCCAAATAACTCAGCAGCTGCTGCACTCAGCTGTGTCCACTGTTTTATTCCACTGATACATTTCTCTGTGGAGGCTTCTGGAGTAACCAGTAGTCACCATATATCTGCTAATTTGAGCTGTCACTCCTATATGTTGCATCAGGGTTGAGAGAGAAAGCACCATGTCCTTCTGTTGAGATCTCTCCTTTTGCTTTGTCTGTGGGCTTTAGTTCTCACTTCATATCCTTGCTGGGCCGCCAGGCCCCACTGCCCTCCGTCTCTTTCTATGCTATCATAGTCCAGTGTCTGGACACCAAATGTCGGAGAAGCTCTTTCTCTGCTGTTCAGCACTCTGCCATCTTACCAGAAGTCTTATTTTGTGTCTTCAGACAGGATTCTGTTACGTAGTTCAGGTGGCCTTGAATTCACTACGTAGCCCAGATTGACTTCAAAATTCCTCCTACCTCAGTCTCCCTCTCCCTGGTTGTATTGTTTTTAAAATCTCTTTATCCTTATAGTTGTTGTCTATAATGATAAGCCTTCAATATTTCTCATAAATAAGCACAGGAGTTTGGGGGGGGGTTGGTACTGTGGATTGAACCCAGGGGCTTTGCACTGACTTTCATCCCACTCTTTCTGTTTTATGTTAAGATAAGGTCTCCCTATGTTCCCTGCAGTGGCTTCAAACTGAAAATTCTCTTGTCTCAACCTTCCAAATAATTACATATAGCAGTGTCCTGCCCAAATAGGCATATTTTATTGAGTCTCTATTTCATTATTTCGGAAATCATGTAAATTTATTGTCAGTTTCGCATTTTTTTTGTTTTTGTTTTGTTTTTTCTTAGCGTCTCACTATGTGGTCTAGGTGAGTCCTGAACTCACTATGAAGCAAAGGGTAGCTTCGAACTTGTATGGATCTTCCTACCTCAGCTTTCCAAGTAATGGGATTGCTGGCATGCAGCATCATGCCTGGCTAAATTAAAAATCACTATGTAGGAAAATTTACATGTAACAAAATGAAGAATAGGGGCTGGGGATTTAGCTCAGCGGCATAAACACCTGCCTTGCAAGCAGGTGATGGTGAGTTCGATCCCCGGTACCGATAAAAACAAAACAAAACCAACAAAAAAAAAGAACAATAAAACTTACAACACAAATTTAATTGTATACATTTACTTTGCATAAATGTTGATAAGGAAAAGTGAGTACAAATATGAAATTTACAGTCTAAAAGTATTCAAAATCCATTATGAAACTGGAGAGGTAGAAATAGGAACAATAATTATTGGAACTGAAAGAAATAAAACCACATGAAAAAGAAACAAAATTGCTGTAGAAGATTTCAATATTTCTGAATGTGTTGGCATATGTCTCTTAATTCCAGCACTTGAGAAGCTGAGGCAGGAGGATTGCCAAAAGTTTTAAGGCCAGCCTAGACTGTATAGTTAGTTCAACACCATCTGAACTACACAGTGAGACCCTAGATCAAAAAACAGAACAAACAAACAAAATGTTAGTTAAAAACTATGGTCCAGTTAAATACTCAATCTGCTTTGTATTTATTTTTTCTTTTATTAGGAATTAAATTCAGGGTTTTATATTGAGGTGTATTGTCTAGATGGGGGTGTAGCTCAGTGGTAGAGTGCTTGCCTAGCATGCACAAAGCATTAAGTTCAATCCACAGTACCACATAAAAACAAAAAGATATATTGTCACCCCATCTTATTTTTATTTGAGACAGGATCTTCTTAATTTGCGCAAGCTGCACTCAAATTTGTAATCCTCCTTCCTCTCAGCCTCCTGAGTAGCTGGGGATATAGGTATCTATTAGCGAGCCCAGAATTTAATTTGATTTTTAAAAATGAAAATAAAATTCTTCTTCTGAAGTGTATGTGTTTTGAGATGGGGTTTCACTATGTAGTTCAGGCTGGCCTTGAATTTATGTAGCATGAGCTGACCTGGAACTGAATCAGTCCTTCTGTCTCAGTCTCCTGGGGCCTGGGACCACACCCAGATAAATTATTCTAAATGTACTTGACTCAAAAAAAATCAAAGATCAAAATAGAATTATAACTGTGAGTGGTGGCACAAACTTGTAATTTCAGCACTCAGGAGTCTGAGGCTGGAGGTTTACTATGAGTTTGAGGTCAGCTTGATTTATGTAGTAAGTTCAAGACCAGCCTGAAATTCATGAGACCCTGTCTCAAAAAAAAAAAAAAAAAATCCCAGCATGGTGGTGGTGCATGCATGTTATCCCAGCACTTGGCAGGCTGAGGTAGGAGGATTAATTCAAATTCAAGGCCAGTGTGGGCTACATGAGGACTTTGAGGCCAGCCTGGAATATATGGTGAGATCCTGTTGCAACAGATAGATATTAAAATCAATATTCAGCCAAAGCCAAGGGCAAGATGAGAATCACAGTCACAGAGTAAACTCCGAGAACATGAAATACACTTGATGCTTTTTCTATTTTAAAGTGAAAAAAATTTCAAAACAAGATGATAGGAGAATAACAATGGTTACTACACTGTGTATTTGTTATGTTTTTTTTACTTATTTTTTATTTCTTTGTCTTTTTCTTTTTTTATCAGTACCGGGGATCAAACTCACGACCACACACTTGCAAGGCAGGTGCTTATGCTGCTGAGCTAAATCCCCAGCCCCGTTATGTTTAAATTAGTTACTAAGAGTACAAAACAGAGGCATTTAATTGTCCAAACAATATTATCACAAACCTTTCTTTGCAGTGAACTATAAACTTGACACTTTTTAAAAATTTTTTAAATTGTTATTATTATTATTTTGAGACAAGGTCTTGCTACCTAGTTTGGGCTGGTCTTAAACTCACTATGTAAAGCCAGGCTGGTCTTGAGCTCATAGTGATCCTCCTGCCTCAGCCTCTCAGTTGACATTACAGCTATGTGCCACTATGCTTCGCTCCTAAACTTTTGACACCAGTCTAGAAATATGAAAGTTTCTCAACATTGTAATCTGCTAGATTGTGTCCACAAATCATTCAGCTACATATTTGCCATATTAAGTAGATATTCACTATTTTTTTTTTTTTGAGAAAAGGTCTCTGTATAGTTTAAACTGGACTCATTATGTAGTCTGGCCTGGTCTTGAGCTTGCAGTGATCCTCCTGCTCCAGTCTCCCAAGTGCTATAGATATTCACTATTAAACCCTATGGAAGATCCAGGTATCTTCCGAGTAATATGCCATTGTTCCTTTACTTCATACCCTTTATTATGTCTAAAGATGGTTTATTATGTATGTTTATACATAATTTTGGAATTTTTCCTCCCAGCAAAATTTATAAGGCAGTATTTTTAAAAATATTATTCATTTTGTTCTTTGGTATTAGGGATTAAACACAAGATCTTGCCATAAGCTACATCCCAGTGCTTTTTATTTTTTATTTGGGGACAGAGTGTTGCTAAATCAATCACCCAGGTTGGTTTCTAATTTACAGTGCTTTTGTCTTAGCCCCCTAAAGTGCTGGCATTACAGTCATGTGTCATTACACCCTGCTCTGTTGGTGACAGATTTGACCTTCTGTTTAACCCTGTTTGAGAGGGTATAAGTAATTCCTAAAGATCTGAATTTCACTCTTTTTTGTGGTCGGAGGATTGAACCCATGGCCTCAGCCTCATGCATGTTAAGCAAGCACTCCATTATTGAATTACACACGAGCATATTTTTCTTTTTTTTTTCCAAAGCTTTTTTTTCTGATGAGATTCATGGGCTAAGTAGAATCAAAATAATATTTTTTAAGAATTATTTTATTTGTCCAAGGCCAGGGTGTCCCTGCTGGAGCTACCGGTGCCAGCATGTTCAAGGTACTTCAGAAGTCTGTGGGCCCGGCCAGCCTGAGCTTGCTCACCTTCAGAGTCTACACTGCACCAAAACAAGACTCGCCTCTCAAAAACTCTATGAAGGTCGATAAGCTGTCACTCTACTCAGTACCTGAGGGTCAGTCTAAACACATGGAGGAGCCAAGGACTCAGCTTGAGGAAGGCATCTCACAGCTGACATCACTGTGAGCCATATACAAATTGGTGCCAGGAAAAATACTCCCAAACTAAACCCAAGATGCAAAGTTTGGTTCAGTGGGGATTAGACAGCTATGAAAATCTCCAAAATGCTCCCCCAGGTTTTTTTCCAAGACTTGGTATTATTGGTTTTGCTGGTGTTGTTGGACTCCTTTTCACTAGAGGTTCAAAACTAAAGAAGCTGGTGTATCCACCTGGCTTCATGGGATTAGTAGCCTCTATCTATTACTCACAACAAGCTATCATGTTCATCCAGGTCAGCGGGGAGAAATTACATGATTGGGGCTTACGCGGATACATAGTCATAGAAGATTTGTGGAAGGAGAACTTTCAGAAGCCAGGAAATGTGAAGAGTTCACCTGGAAATAAGTAGAAAACTCCGTGCTCGGCCCATTTTTATCAGTTGTAGGAAATGCTGGAAACTCCAGAGAGTAAATCAGTATTTCTACCAAAAAGTGGCAAAGGCAGTACTGAATGCAGAAAACTAGCTTTCTTCTTCAGGAAAAGTATACTAGGCCTCTTTGTTATCTTGGGTGATGCCATACTGCAAATGGACTAATCTGAAATCCTTTCACCTAGAGATAATATGTGAGCCTTGGGACACCTTGTTCTCATGTTGCTATTACGTACATAATAAAAATGCAAAAGAAAAAAAGAATTATTTAATGCTGAGTGTCAATGTATAAAATAATGATTATAATATAACCTTATTCCAATTAGCTTGCTATATTGTTTAAAATTTTATGAGTCCTATATATATTTTAATAACATTTGTTGACTTAAATTAGGAATAAGGTATTACATTTTCCCTAAAGTAGTCTAGCTAATGTAGTCTATTAAGTTGCCTACCTATTATGAACTCACAATAATGGTCCTGCCTCAGTCCCCTGAGTGCTGAGATTACAGGCACGCACTAACACACTGGGCTCAAATGATAAGTTTTGCCAGTGTTACTGACATATTATTCTAATTAAAGATGGTAATCTCGATGACCTCAAGATCATTGTTTATGTATACAAGTTCACAGATGCCAGGAATTTTTTTTCTTTTTTTTGGTACCAGGTATCAGACTCATGACCTTGCACTTGCCAGGCAAGGCACTTACACTGCTGAGCAAAATCCCCAGCAGTGTTCTATTTTTTTCTTTTATTTTTTGTTTTTTAAGATAGAGACTCACTATTTATTACAGGCTGTCCTTGAACTCATAATATTCCTCCTGCCTCAGCCTCCAGAGTGCTGGGAGTTTGGGTGCCAGGAATTCTTCTAAAGTTGGATTTGGATAAATTAGTCTTCCACAGGCCAATAATAAAATATGATAGAATAATTGTAGACTATAACCTGATTCTTTAGTCAAATTTGAGTGTAAATTTCATGGCAAAAATATACACTGTAGGCAATGTAGCACTTATATGCAAATTTGTAACCTTACTCATTTATATTTTGAAAAATATAAAATGAAAACAAATGAGGTAATCATAGCATTCCAATCAGAAATAAAAACCTATGAAATATCATAACATACATTTTAAAAAGGAGCCAAGCATGACAGCACATGCCTATATTCCCATTACTCAGGAGGCTGAGGCAGGAAAATTACCATCAGTTTCAGGCCATCATGGGCTGCACAGTGAGTTGAAGGCCAGCCTGGACTACTTAGTAAGACCTCATATCAAAATAAATAAATAAATAAATAAAACAAAAATTAGTTGGCCAGGTGTGGTAGCACAAGCCTATAATCCTAGCATTTGGGAGGCTGAGGCAGGAGGATTGTCATGAGTTCAAGGGACAGCCTGTGCTACAAAGTGATTTCAAGGCCAGCCTTTAGTGAGCTGCATTGAAACCCTGTCAAAAAAAAAAAGAAAAGAAAAGAAAAAAAAAAAGAGATAGAAGTGATAGACTCATGATGGCTGTATTTTCTTTTTAATTATAAATATTTCATGAACTCTCATGAATAAATACAGAAATATTAACAAATTTGAATCTTTAAAAAATTTTGAAAAAATTAACTGAAATAGAAAATAAGAAGAGATCAAAAACTATGGGAGAAATTGAAAAAGATGTTAAAAATTAATTCCACAAAATGTGAAGAGTGAATCCTTTCAGTGAAAAATATAATTATAATGTTACTTAAGCTGTCACAGAATAAAAAATGGTTAGTTCATTTGATAAAAGCAGCATAAACTCTGATGTCTAGCCTAACAGCACACATGTGCATGCATACACACATGCTCTCGCATTGAACCCTGGTTACCTGCCAGATATTATGTTGTAAGGCAAAAAGAAAAAGAAAGAAAGAAAGAAAGAAAGAAAGAAAGAAAGAAAGAAAGAAAGAAAGAGACAAAATGGAGGTACAAGCCGAGATCTGGAACGAGCAGTAGTTTACAAAGAGCAGGAGGCCATGAGGCAGCCAAAATCTTGGCATTTATTGATTGCAGAGAGGTTTATCGGTTGACTTAGAGGGCAGCAGTGGTCTTATGCTGAGTAGGAGCTTGCTTTGGAGCATCTTTAGTCTTAGTAGTTTTAGTCTTAGTCTTAGCCTTAGTCTTAGTCTTGGTGAATGGGAGAGGATGACCCACCCCTAACTGCATAATGAGAAATCACAAAAGGGTGATTACAAAAATCCCAAGCTTCTGTTCATCATTTAGGGAAATATATAAAACTACTAATTTGTGGTTCCCAACACACACATGTGCATGCGCGTGAACACATACACATGAACACACACACATTCAGACCAATTCTATTATTATCTAAGTGAGGAGCCAGGGAAAGAAATACCCAGGCTGAAGGTATAGTGTGTATGAGGGCACAGGTAGGAGGAACATACAGTGCCTTCTAAACTGGAAAAAGTTCACTTTGGCCAGCACATAGAATAGGCAAAAGACAGGGTTGAGGAAGAGGAATTCATTGTGAGATGTAATACTAGAGAGACAATATTGAGTCACACTATGAAGTGCAGGCTGGTCTCAAACTCTTGATGATCGTCCTGCCTCAGACTCCCAAGTGCTGGGATTATAGGCATATGCCACTATTCCTAGCTCATGGAAACACTTTTACCATGTGCATTCTTATATTTTCTATTTCATGTTCTTTTACTTGCAAAAATATGTTTTCTGTCTCTTAATAGCTAACGTGGGGGCTGGGGGTTTAGCTCAGCGGCATAAGCACCTGCCTTGCAAGCAGGCGGTCGTGAGTTCGATCCCCGGTACCGATAAAAATGAAAAAGACAAAAAAAAAAAAATAGCTAACGTGAACCTTTGTACAAATTTGAAACCAGCATTCTCTTGGGGAGACATGATGTTATGGTTTGTGTTTAGATGTCCCCACTAAGTCTCATGCACTTTTAGATGGGGCTTTTTTAGAGATAACTGAGTCTATAGTTTGTGTCTGATTTTTATGATTCAATAAATAGGATAAAAGACTTCAAAATTCCCCATGAAGAGGAAGGTAAGATCATCTGAGGTGAGAGAGAGTTGAGACAGGATGAGAGGAGTTAAGAGGCATGAATGAGGGGGCTGGGGATTTAGCTCAGTGGCATAAGTGCCTGCCTTGCAAGCAGGCAGTCGTGAGTTCGATCCCTAGTATCGGTAAAAACGAAAAAGACAAACGAAACAGACACACACACACAAAAAAATGCATGAATGAGGGCCGGGGATTTAGCTCAATGGTATAAGCACCTGCCTGGCATATGTGAAGTCAGAGTTTGATCCCTGGTACCAACGGGGGATAGGGGGAAGAAACATGAATGAGAAAGGAAGTCTGAGATTGAAAAAACAAACTACTAAGGAATGCCTTATATCACTGAGTGCTGATTGAGGTTGGAGATCACAAGTGTATGGTGACATAATTGAGCTCTGCTGTGAGATTTCTGCAGCAAGACTGAATAATACCACCATGATACTGGCAAGGGCAAATGATTAGATTAAGCTATTATTTTTTGAGACAGGATCTTGCTATGTAGTTCACGCTGGCCTTGAGTTCACTATTAGCCCAGGCTGGCCTTGAACTCATTGAGATCTTCCTGCTTCAGCCTCCTGAGTGCTGAGATTACAGGTGTGTGCCACTACACCTGGCTAGATTATCTCCAGCCGGGATGTTTCCCAAGAGACTATCTAGAAAATTAATTGATACAGGCCGCAAGTTAGCAAAGACTCTTGCTTCTGTGGAGAATGACAGAAGCTGAACCTTTTGAGGACTGTTGTTTTTTTCTTTGAAGTATAAGGCTATCTCTAGGCTCCAAAGAGGCGTGTTAACTTCAGCTGTCCTTTTACCTTTTTTTTTTTAAATAGAGCTCCCATCTTTGCTATTACTTTTGGGCACTGAACTCCAGTTTCTTTAGCCTTCCAATGGAGATTCAAACTGATGACTAATTCAGCATTTAGATTCCATGCTTTTGACCTTTGACTACAATTGGATCCTGTGATTCATCAGTGCACAAGTGGTCATTTTGAATTTTTCCACATCTGATATCAAAGTTGGCCTTGGTACTCTTCCATCTCTGAGCCTGAAATATCTGGGACCTTCTGGAAAGATGATGGAATGGTGAGCCTCTATAGAATGGGAGAACTTCTCCTAGATTTGGTGTCCAGACAAAGGAATATACCAGCATAAGGAAGAGAAGGAGGGAAGTGGGTTCTTGGATTCCAAGAAGGATCTGAATTGAGAACTGAATGACAAGGGGAGAGCAAAGAGAAAGATTTCATTAAAAAGGAGGTGGAGGGCCGGGGTTTTAGCTCAGCGGCATAAGTGCCTGCCTTGCAAGCTTGCAGTCTTGAGTTCAATCCTCGGTACAAAAAAAAATTAGAAGTAGGTGGAAGGTAGTACTTTCACTGCATGGGAGGGGCATTTTGAACTTCAGATCCATGGTGACAACTGGCAAATTAACAGGCCTCTATGGAGAAATATGCCAGTGCAACAGAGCAGTGGATGCTGTGGACTGCAGTGGTTAGTGAGTTATTCAGGTTCAGACTTTCCCAGAGAGAGGACAATTGACTGATAGCTATTTAGGAAAGGGGCCAACTGAACTAGGAATCTGGAATATGTGTGTCGAGGCTCCATCTAGTGGCTCTAGATGGGGTTAGGGAGCGCAGGAGGTCAAGGAGGTCAAGGAGGTCAAGGTCAGGTTAACACTGCCGGGAGCCGAGTTCAAGCTGACAGGAGGCACATGGACTGCTGCAGGCTAAAACCATCTGCCTCCTGCCCTACTGCCACAAGGTTCCCACAGGCTCCCTAGCCATAATCCCCTACCTCACTGTAAAGCTATGGCTGGCTTGTTGAAATTAACCACCTTGGGGGCTGGGGATTTAGCTCAGGGGCTTAAGTGCCTGCTTGGCAAGTGTGAGGTTGTGAGTTCAATCCTTGGGACCAAAAAAAAAAAAAAAAAAAAAAAAATTAATCAACTTGGATTTGGACTCTATCTTCCCACATTGTCTACCATGACAGCAGAGAAATGCACTTTTTTCTACTTCTTTTCTCTCTCTTTTCTTTTTTTTATTTTTATGATTGCTTATTCTTGTTTTTATGTGACTGTGAGCATAGTATCTAGGGTTTTCATTATTGGTTTTGTTTTTATTTCTTTATCTTTCACTCCTGTCTTATTTACTAGTTTGGGTGATACTCATTTGTCCTCAGCCTTGCTTCTCCTTCTTATTCTTCTATGTTTTCTTTTCCCAACTATTTTAAAGAGAAAAACATAAAAATTCAAAACAGTAATTAGGGGTTAAATATATATACATATATATGTACATAGTTTCTTTCAGCTCACACTAGTGAGAAAATTTGATGTTTATACATGGGTATCTGATTTATTTCACTTATGAGTATGGTCTCAAGTTGTATCCATTTGTCTGTAAAAGTGTCCAGTTTGCCTGTCTTTATCACTAATACTCCATCATATAAAAATATCACATCTTTTTTATCCATTCCTCAGTCTAAGGCCATTTAGGTTGTTTCCAAGATCTAGCTGTTACAAACTGTGCAGCTATAAACATGGGTGCACATATATTTCTGTGGTGTGATATTTTTAATTATTCTTGGAAGATACCCAGAAGGAGAATAGTTGGGTCAAATCGGACTCCAATCCTAGTATTTTGAGGAATCTCCACACTGGTTTCCACATTGGTTGCACCAGTCTACATTCCCACAAACAGTGGAGAAGATTTCTTTTTTCCCCACAGCCCATTCAGCGTTTGTTATTGGTTGATTTTTTTTTTTATCAGCCACGTGCTTGCAAGGCAGGCGCTTATGCCACTGAGCTAAATCCCCAGCCCCGATTGATTTCTTGATAATAGCCATTCTTTTTGGGGTCAGGTAAAATTTTAGTTTTTGAATTCTTTATATGTTCTCGATAGAATATTTGTACAGGTCTGGGGATTTAGCTCAGTGGCATAAGCACCTGCCTGGCAACTTTGATCCTTGGTACAGGAAAAAGAAAAAGAATGATTTATGCTGGTATTGTTTAGACAATTGAATGCAGAAGTCTTGTGCTTTGGGTGAATGATTTGGGGATGACATGTGCAATGTATGTACCAATGTTCCCCCCGATTGATGTGTTTTGGAATTTTGTTTTATTTTTTTCTCTTTGACATAAGATGGATAAAAAAAGAAAAGACTATGGAATGATATCCCATGCTCTTGGGTAGGAAGAACTAGTATTGTGAAAATGGCCATACTTTCAAGATGTTACACAGATTCAATACAATTTCTTTTCTTTTTTAAAATCCATTTTATTCAAACATAAACAGAAAAAAATAAGAAAGAAAAACTACAATAAAATTTCAAGGTACATCAATCAGAGTTTAACAATGGTACATACTGCATCAGTGCAGTTTCCATCAAAATTCCAATACCATATCTCAGAGCATTAGAGAAAATAATCCTAAAATTCATCTGGAGCCAGAAGAGACCTAGAATAGCAAAGGCAATCCTAGGCAACAGAAGCAAGATGGGGGCATCCCAATTGCTGACTTGAAATTATACTACAAAGCTACTGTAATAAAAACAGTATAGTATTAAAAAACAGATTAGAGATCAATGGAACAGATTAAAAGATGCAGAGACAACTCCAAATACACTGAACCACCTTATCTTTGGCAAAGGGTGGTTACATGCTTACTGGAAGAAAAAAAAAACTTCTTTAATGAATGATGCTAGAAAAACTGGCTCTGTACCATGCGGAAGATTAAAGTTGGGCCCATATCATTCATCATGCACTAAAGTAAATTCAGAATGAAACAAAGATCTAAATATTAAAACAGAAACATTAAATCTGCTGGAATATACAATATGTAAAACTCTTGAAAACATTGGTGTAGACAAAGACTTTATGAACAAAACACATGAGACTTTGGGCAAACAACCAAACACAATCCATCTCAGTCCTTATCCTTAGGATCTAGATGCAGGGGCTGTCTTCCACATATTGCAATGAACATTGCTCCCAATGCTGATTTATCACTTGGCACAAATCTAAATTCAGCAAGAGGTTCAACATCATAACCACTGTGTTTTTCTTCATCATCAAGAGATTTTTTTTCTTCCAATTTAAGATCCGCTATAATATGCAAATGCTCTTGTGGATAGGCCTACAGGTCCCTGAACACAGCATGTGAACTAATGATGGAGTATTTCAGTGAGAATTTTAATCCCGAATCATCTAACCAAGACAGGTGGCTCTCAGCAATGTAAAGACTGCCAGTGCTGAGGCCCTTCTATGCAGCACAGACTAGGTATCTAGCTGCTCCTCCCCAGGGCCCTACTCTAGCCTTGGTGGTAGAAATCTTTTGAGGCTGCTCATCACTTTTTAAATAGGTTAAAAATAGAGCCTTTAGGAAATTAGCTACAAACACTCCAGAACCTCATGTCAACAATGAAAAACGTGTACATCACTAACTTTGGAAGCTTGTGTTTCTCGGACACTTCTTTATTCAAGGGAAAACTTGACTAAAAGGTCAAAAACAAGCCAAAGAATCATACCTGTAATTCCAGCATTCAGAAGGCTGAAACTGGAAGAGCACTACAAGTTCAAGGCCCACCTGGGGCACAAAGTGCAAGGCCAGTCTGCACTGTATAGTGAAAGCCTGTCTCAAAAAGACACGCGCACACACACAGAGTCCAGATATGGTGGTACATGTTGTTGGATAGTTCCACCTAACCAGGAACCTAAGAGAAGTGGATTGCTTGAGGCAAGAGTTTGGGACCAGCCTAGACAACAGAGTAAGATCCCATCTCACAAATAATAATCATGAAATGTAAATAGAAAACTGGATAAGAAACAGTTTCTTATATTTGGACTTCTCCAAAATTTCCAGGTTTAATATTAATCAAAAATCTACAATGAACATTCACACAGTATTTGAGCATGTCATATTCCTTGAGCTGTGACTATTTACAAAGAGACAACACTACTGGCTAGAGGGTATCACTAGTTAATAGAAGTATTTAATGTGTATTTGAACAACTTAGCATGTGAAGATGCTACAAAAGCTGAAGTGATAAATCACATTTTTTATTTATACCTACAATTATCTTTCTAGAGTTTTACTTGCTAGATTTATACAAGAAAAAAAATTTTGGGGAAGACTATTCAGACATAATTACAAAGAAGAGAGAGTACCAGTGTCTTACAATAGATGTGTCTTTATTAGAAAAATTACAAAAAGTGGGTGTCAAAAAAAAAACCACACACAAAAAACAAAGAGTGGGGTGGGAACATAGCTCAGTGGCACAGCACTTGCCCGGCAAGTGTGAGGTCCTAAGTTCAATTCCCAGTACCCTCCCCACAAAATGTGGATGTCTCAGTAGCAGTATTTTATAGACATGACCCCAAGATATTCAGTGAGTCACTTATACTCCGGTAGGAGAGTGTGTAAGAGGATGTGTTAGCAGTGCTATTGCTGACTCCCAGTACTCATTGGGTGGCCCCAGTGATTGGTCCACATCAGTTATGCAGTGCCTTTCCCCAATTTCTCTTAACATAAGTGGGTTAGGAATTAACATGTCATTTAATACTGATAAATGAGAGGTCGGAGATTTCTGAAAAAGGCTTCTTCATTCCCAATAAGAAATAAAAGTATTCCCTCCTTCCTTCCAGGTAATGTTGTATCAGATACGATGTCTGGAATTTCTACTGTTCTGTGACCATGACAGAAATCCCAAGGGCAATAATGAAGGTATTAGAGAAATGAGATGGAAAAAACCTGGGTTCTTAACATACAGGAGTCACTAAATCAAGTACTCACATTACTACTAAACTTCCTAAGAGGTAAGATATTTATATACAAGGATATTTTTTGAGACAGGGTCTTGTCATGTAGCCCAAGGTGGCGTCAAACTCAGGGTGATCTTCCTGCCTAAGCCTCCCACACATTATAGTTGTGTGCCACCGCACCTGGCTATAAAGATGTTTTGACTTACCTTATGCTATATTCAGGTCAAAGTATGTTAAATAGAAAAGGCATTTTTAAAATTTATTTATTTATTTATTTATTTTTGAGATAGGATCTTGCTATGTAGTTCAGGCTGATCTTGAATTCATGATGTAGCCCAGGTTGGCCTGAAACTCAAAGCAAATCTCCTGCCTCAGACTCCCCAAGTGCTGTGGTTACAGGTGTGCATCACTATGCTTGGCAGAAATGGTATTTTATTAAGAGATATGTTGGTATATAAAGCGGTATGTTTCAGATGGACATGGTGACACATCTCTCTAATTTCAGCACTAGGGGGATTGAATCAGAAAGATAGTTTAAAGCCAGCATATGCTAGGCAAATGTTCTACTTATATCCCACCTCCAAACCCAGCTCTCCATTTATAAATAATACATACAGAATCATAAAGAAAATACTGGATGCTGATATACATTTCTGGTCTCTTGATTTATAAGTGGTCATCCCACCCTTTTTTTTTTCCCCCAAAACAAGGTCTAGCTATGTAGTCCAAATTGGCCTTCAATTTATAGTGATCTTCCTGCCTCGGCCTTCTAAGTGCTGGGATTACAGACATGGACCTCCACGTCCAATTTGTTTTGTTTTTTGAGATAAGGTCTTGCTATGTAGTTCAGGCTGCCCTTGAACTCACTATGTAGCCCAAATTGGCCTTGAACTTGGGGCAATTTTCCTGCCTCAACCTTCTGAATGTTGTAATTACAATGTGCATCACTATATCCAGTTGGTTGTTTTTCTTTCCCTTGTAATTTATACAGTTTGTGTCACTGAACTTTGAATTTTGCTGATTGCATTTCTGTCACATGGCTAAGCCTATTGGTAGTTATTCTCAGATTCTTTATCAAAATCATATTCAATTTTTGTTTTCAGGCAAGATACCAGTAAAAAGTGATAAATTCTTCCTTGAAGAATATCTATTGCCTCTTCCTTTTCTTTTTTTTTAACCTTAGCCATGGAGGATGATTGCCTACAGGTGTTAATTCAGTACATGTTATAAAATAGTGACAGTCTAATAATGTCAGTCTTTGTTTTTAGTACCTTCTGCTTGGTTATCTGGTGAATGCAGTTAGATTTAGAAAGTTCCTTTATTTACAGTTTGAAATTGAAAGGTTGGTTTACTAGTATTCTCTAAGATTTATTCTCAAATTAATTTTTTAAAAGAATCATGATGAGGCAGGTGTGGTGGCACATGCCTATAATCCCAGCACTTGGATGCTGAGGTAAGAGGATCACTGTAAATTTGAGGCCAGCTTGGACTACATAGTGAGATCCTGTCTCAAAAAGAAAACAAAGGCTGGGGATTTAGCTCAGTGGCATAAGTGCCTGCCTGGCAAGCATGAGGTTGTGAGTTTGATCCTTGGTACCAAAAAAAGGCAAAACAAAAAGGTAACACTATGAATTTGTAGAACATAGTTTATGTATCTCGATCTATGGTCATTATGATCCTTAGTAACAGTCAAATTTTCCATTGTTTTGTTTTGTTTTGAGGGACAGGGTCTTGCTACATAGCTCAGGCTGGCCTCAAAGTCACAGCCATACTCCTGCCTCAGTCTCCTAAGTGTTGGGTTAAAGATGTGTCACTGTGTCTGGCTAAATTTTTCACCTTCAGACAATGGGAGACTCTCCAAATAGGCCCTTTAATTCTTTCAACACTCTATAGTTTGCTGTGTTGGTATCTGCAGATGCGACAAGGTCATCTTGTACATTTCTTGCTTCAGATCTGTAATCAGTCATTTCTCCAATGAACCCTGGTGCATGTAAACAGTGAATGGTATTTAGAGGCCACAATCTGGGCCCTGAGAATCAGGTTTGTATATTTGATGTGTATGACTCACACTTGGAGTTTCTGTGTTTTCTTTCATAGTGGTTTCCAATTCATTCAGAATGAAACTTTTTCAGTGATTCATGGGGCCTTGTATATCTGTATTCTGTTTTCTCTTTTCTTACCATGCTTGTTCCCATCTCAAGGTCACTGCCACAGAAATGTCCTTTTTCCAGGTAAATACAGGCTTAATCACTAGTTCTATGAAGATCTTCTAGTAGAAACCTTCTAGTAGAAACCTATCCTGCCAGCTACATTTAAAATTACAATAGTGGGGCCAGTAATGTAGCTCAGTGTTAAGACTTGTGCTTATATGCATGAGACTCTGGATTCTATCCCTGGGATAAAACAAAACAAAACACAACAAAACAAATTTACTATCAACAGTAATTACATTTCCAAACTTACTTTCCATATTCGATAATCTATTTCTAGATCAGTTCTCATTTCCTACTTTATCATTTACTGTGTTGGTACATTTATCCTTTTCCTAAAATTTAAGCTCCATAGACACATGGATTTTTGCCTTCGCTTTAGTGCCTTGGACGATATCTACACATCAAAGCCTTTCAGTACATATTTGTTCAATAAAATAATACCAGCAGGGTGATTTTTCTATACTGGGGATTGAACACAAGGCTTTTGCACTGTACATTTCACATTGTACTATATTTTCATGCCTTTTCAAAAAATTTTGGAACAGATTACTCAGTTGCCCAAGCTGGGTTCAAACTTGTGCCTCCTTCCTCAGGCTCCCACAGTGCTGGGATTACAGGTATGTGCTACCACGCGGGGTCAACCTTAGTATATTTATGAATCATCACACTTGTGATGGACTAACTAATGGTCAATTTGTAACACCCAGCTGAACTGAATCAGCATGTTTCTGGGCACGGAAGGCTCACCTGGGGATTGTTGCCAACTGTGTAAAAGAAGAACTAGATGAGATTGTGAGTTCAATCCCGGTAGTATGCCCCCCCTCAGTGCAAAAAAGAGAACAGAAGGAGGAGGAGGATGGAAAGGAGGAGGAGGAGGAGAGGAAGATGGTATGTTGTTGATTCTCCTGGAGAAGTTTGTCATGTTGGTTTTCCTGATACTAACTCAGCTGTTCTCATATTGGAGGAGCTCAGGTCCTTGCTATTGCTAAGGATGGCTGCAGTTCGCTTTGGGGGAGCCCTGGTCCTTACCTTGAGCATCACTTCTTGACTCCAGTACAGATCCCTCAGCCTGCTAACACAGATCTTTCACCCTGCTGGTGCAGACTTTCTAGCTTCCACCACTGACCTTTGAGTCTTCCCAGAGAAAATTGTTGATATACACTCACATGAGACATTGTCACGGGTTCTAGGTCTTCAGTTGGACTTATGCAGGACATTGCTATGGGACTCAGGCCCTCATTACTACACACATCTTACTTATTAGTACAACTCAAACAGGTCAAATTTAAAGCAAACAAGGCTAGGTGTGTGGGGAACCACTCAGACTGCTTCAAAGTTCAAGGGCATCTGAGGACACCTGAGGATATGACCATGCTTGTCTAGGGTAGGCACACAGTGGGATACAGTTATGTAACCATAACTTAGCACGGGTAAACAATCATGTGCTAGCTATGGCACTATGTAAGAATGTAAACGTGAGATAACAACCTATATAAGAATTATACAGTAAAGATACAGGTGGCCCTCTTGCTCTCTTGTGCTCTGGCTTTCTGTTCTGCTCCACGCTGTCTGCTGTTGTTGCTGATGTCTTGTACATGTGCATTCTTTCATCTTGGAACCTCACCTGTGAAAATCTCCCTTGGGCCTCCTGAGTGGGCTGACAGTGTGGTGCTATTTTGGGGCCCACAAATTCACAATGGCTAATTTTGCATACTTCCCTATGGGCTTAGTAACACCCATCTGAGATTTCCCATTGACTCTTCTAAGCGTAAGATCATCTACACCCTCGTGGGCATATATCACAGGATTACACTCCAAGACAAAATCCTTCTTGGCATAGGATCATCTATGCCTTCTTGAGTCATCCCAGGATTTACTCCAGGACAAGGTCCTGCTTAGCATTTCATCATCTATGCCATCTTGAGTCTGAGTCTTCTGCAGAATTGCATTCTTTCGTTTGCCCCACCTATCACCATATATACTTAATAAATAGTGACTGTTTCGGAGTGTCAGTGGAGGACCCATCGAGATACATTGACTTCCCAGCCATTCATGTATTACTAAACTTGTCTGTTTTTTATTTTTCTTGCCATCCCTTCAGACAGACAATCAGTACTCTTAGCAGGATTCCTGATAGCGGTACACACCTGTAATCCTCGCCCTTAAGAGGTTGAGGCAGAAGTTTACAGTCAGCTTGTACTATACAGACCTGCCTCAAAAAAAAAAAAAAAAAGCAAAAACAATTCTTCAAGGATGTGAACTATATTCAGATATGCATAGACAAAGTTCTTTTTTATTTATATTTGAGATAGTCTCACTATGTAGTTCAGGCTGGTTTTGAATTCACTATGTAGCCCAGACTGTGCTTGAACTTGTAACAACTCTACTGCCTCAGCCTCCTAAACGCTGGGATTTCAGGTATGCACCACCACACTCTGACTAAAATCCATGAATTTCAAAATAGTCCTGCCATTTCTAGAGATATGTTCATATTCAGCAATGTTTGTACATTCATTTTTTTAAAAAACTTTTATCGGTACTGGGGATCGAACTCACGACCGCCTGCTTGCAAGGCAGGTGTTTATGCCACTGAGCTAAATCCCCAGCCCCTGTACATTCATTTTTGAAAAAGAAATGTGATTATAGATGATATGATCTCATTATTAAAATATCGGTAATAAAAATACAGGCCAAATAGCTTTAGGCAATTTTCTTTTTAGACACAGTCTCTTCATGTATTAGTCAAGGCTGCCTCGAACTCACTGTTACCTAGGCTGGCTGTGAACGTAGAGTGATCCCATGCCTCAGCCTACACAGGGCTGGGGTGACAGTTGTGCATCCTCACATCTGGCTAGGAAACTATTTTCATATGAGTATGGTTTGGGCCAGGCCTCGGGGTGCACACCTGTAATCCTAGTGCTACAGAAGCAGAGGCAGCAGAATCACCTTGAGTCTGAGGCAAGCTTAGGCTACAAAGTGAGTTCAAGGCCAGCCTGAACTGGATAGTGAAACCTTGCCTCAAAGACAAATAAATCAGTCAATTAATTAACTAAAACTATAGTTCATAAAACTATAGTTCTGGATTGTTGTTAATACTTGATCACCTTATATCAGTGAATATAGGCATTAAACACACTAAAGTCCTGTGGGGCAGTAGTAAGTTGTAGTCTCTGGGGTATATTTTAATTTCATCACTGATAAAAGACTTTTATCTTACATTTTGTTTTTTGTGAGGGGATAGGGTCTCATTGTGTAGTCCAGTCTAGTCTTGAATGCATCATGTATCCCAGCCTGGTCTCAAACTCACGGCAATCTGGTTTTTTTTTTGTACCAGGAACTGAACTCAGGACAATGCACTTGCTTAGGCAGGTGCTGCTCTGTTGAGCTGTATCCCCAGCCCTACTCCTGGCAATCTTGCTGCCTCAGCTTCCTAGTGCTACGATTACAGGCATGTGCCATCACACTCGGCTTATATTACACTTCTTTTTGAAATACTTTAACGTGAATTTGGTTGGGGCGTATAAACATTTAGTCCATTATGGCTTGTAATTTTTCAGATTTTTAAAATATCTCTTTTGGAGATTTTAAACATCATCACTGCTCACTCCACATATTGCATTTCATTCAATTAGACAAATAGTGGATGTCATGGTGTCCTAGGCACTGAATTTATAAAGGGCACAGTCTCTGGTTTCTAAAAACTTACGTGTTAGTTCAGAGAGAGATGAACAAATCATCCAATGCGATATTCTGTGGGATCATTCTGTATAGTAATTGGAGAGAACCTCCTTTTACCTTGTGTGAATCAGCACCCTCATGTGGCACATCTGATCTTTGTTATTACCTGGACCAGTTTGCCAATCTACCCTATCTTCCGGGCAGCCTGGATCACAAGGTTAGTAATTCTAGCTGGGTATGGCGGTGGTCATTTGTAATCCCAGCACTCAGGAGGCTGAGGCAAGAGGATCACTATGAGTTCAAGGCCCAGCTGAGCTACACAGTGAGTTCAAGACCCAGCGTGAACTACATAGGGAGACCTTGCCTAAAAAACATACAAACAAACAACAACAAGAAGAACCAACACACAAGGCTAATAATTCTAATACTTGTACCTGTACTTCGGTACTCTTCAGTATTGTTGGGATATTCCTTCTGGGCAGTTTATCCCTAATTTTCGATGAATTCAGTTATTTGTTTTCTGCTCCCAGAAAGGTAAGTTCAGCAGAATAGTGAAGAAATACACTGATTAATTTTTTTGAGACAAATTTATTTAATGCTGCACAGGCACTGAAAATAATCCAATCCTTATAAAAATGTCAGGCCTTTCCATCCTGGAAAGTTTTTATGGGGTTGCAAAGGGGAGTACAGAAGTAGAGTACTTGGCTGCCTTTGATTGGTTCCTACTATATGCATCATAGTGACCACCTATACATCACAGTGTCCAGCCATTTCTAAGAAATACACGCTGATTAATTTTATTAGTTTTCAGCTTCTTTAGGCATGTTAGCATTGATACACAAACATGTAACTTATGTTCAACTCCATTTTCTCCACAATGCCTGACAAAAAAATTATTACACTTCCTAAAGTCTTATCTCATTCTTACCTGAAGATCATTATGTTACTTTGTGTGTTGGTTAGTTTTCTCTTATTGCTGAGACAAAATACCTGACACCCAGTTAAGGAAGGAAAGGTTTACTTAGCTCACAGTTTGTGGATATTTCAGTTTGTAATCAGCTGGATCCCAGGCAGGGTGGTGTGGCAGAGGGACACTGTTCATGCAGTGGAAGACAGAAAAAGCAACAAGAGCAAAAGTGGAAGAGCCTGGAGAGAAGTCTCTTATATGGTATGTACGCCACACCCTAAAGTGGTATAGCACTCACACCTATAATCCTAACACTGGACCAAGAGTTAATCAGAAACTCTAGCATCCTGCCCCCATGACTGCTCAAGGCTTTGGAGGGAATCTAGATACAAACCATAACACTGCAGAGTTGTCATTAGACATTAATTCCTTCAATTTTCAGGCTGTGCTTTAATTTTCAAGGCATTTTTCTGAGCCCATGAATTTGAGGCCAGCTTAGGAAGCACAGTAAGACTCTTTAAAAAAAATTCATGGGTTTAAAGAAACTATGTTGATAAACTTTAGATTCTGTAACTGCTTACTAAATATCTCAATTTGGACATCACATTCCATCTTATGCTCCAAATAAGGCCCTGTAAGAGGACATTTTTGGACATATATAGTCATCTTCATTGTAGTAGTAGTTTCATGGGTATACACGTGTAGAAAAACTTATGAAACCACACATGTTATTCTTTTGGCGTTTTTGAGACAGAGTCTCACTGTATAGTTCAGCCTGACCTGAACTCACACCGGTCCTCCTGCTTTGGGCTTTAGAGTGCTAGAATCATATATAATCATCTTAGCTACTTCCCTTGTTGCTGGGACAAAATACCTAACACCCAAAATTTCAAGGGAGGATATGTTTATTTTGGTCAATGTTCAGTCCATTGGGTTGGCTCCAAGGCAGGATGATCTGGCTGAGGAGCGTGGTGGTGAGTTACTCACAATAAATCTGGTAAGGAAACAGACAGTCAAGGGTGGAGTCGGGCAGACAGATCCTTCCAAGACATGCCCCCAGTGACCCATCACTCCAACCAGGCTCTACTTGTCAACCTCGTATTTTGCCACAAGCTCAGAAATGGACAGATTTACCAATGAGTATAATGTTTCCATGAGTCAATCATTTCCCCAAAGCCCCACCTACGAGCGCATCAGGTTTTAGTGGCCATCAACACATAAGCTACAACAATTTAATGTATGTGAATTATATTTAATAAAGTTAGGAGGCAAAGACAAATCTAAAGTTTTCTGACCTGAGTAAAGTAGTAATATATTGTAGTTACAGCTGTTTTTTTAGCATGTATTTTCTGTGGGGTGTGGTGGATCACGCCTGTAATCCCAGCACTCAGGAGGCTGAGGCAGGGGCTTGTTGCGAGTTCGAGACCAGCCTAGGCTACAAAGGGAGCTTTTCATTTCAATACCTAGAAATTGTACATATTTATGAGGATATGTGTGACATTCTGATACAAATATACAATGTGTAACAATTAAATCAGGGTAATTGGTTGGATTGTCCTATACTTGGTTTTAGATTTTATGAAATAAAATATTTACTTGTTTTTGAGACAGAGTCTCACCATATAGTTCAGGCTGGCCTCAAGCATGCAGTGATCCTCCTGCCTTAGTCTTTCCAAGTGCTGGGACCTGACTTTAAGTACTTACTTTCTACTGTGACTCTGAACTCAGCTACATGACATTTTGAGACTTCAGCAGTGTTCTAATGGTGAGGGGAAGAGGTGATGAAGTCAGGACTTGTGAGAACGAGAATTCTTATATTGAGAGTATCCTCTTCAGGTTCAAGGTGGACTGTGAAACTTTATGACAAACTCATAACTTAACCCGATCCCAGCATGCATCCAAATATATTGGACCAGTGACACTGAGCAAGAACTGAGATAGTGGAAATAGTTTAAAGCAGTAGTGGGGAGCCTATGGCATGCATATTGTTTTTCCTTTAAGACAAAGAATGTTGGGGCTGGGGATTTAGCTCAACAGGCATAAGCGCCTGCCTTGCAAGTAGGCAGTCGTGAGTTTGATCCCCAGTACCGATAAAAAGGAAAACAAAAGATGTTAATGCATGGGTTTTTTTGTTTTGTCTTTTTTTGAGATAGGGTCTTGCTATGTAGTTCAGGCTGGCCTTGATCTCACTATATAGCCGAGGCTGGCTTTAAACTTGCTGTGATCCCCTGCCTTAGCCTCTGAGAGCTGGGGTTACAGGTGTTGCATCACCAACCCCAGCTGTTTTTTCATAAACTAAAACGTCATTATTCAGGTTTAACTGCAGTGCTGTCACTTTGTGACAAGTAAATGAATTTAGGATTGTAGTTTGGGTACTCATCTCTAATAAAATGTTTGCCATTGCTGGTTTAAAGTATTACATTTGTCAGTGGTTTTTTTTTTTTTTTTTTTTTTTCACTTGTCAGTACTGTTCAGAGACAGAAACAAAGATGCAAAGGAGGAAAGATGGAAAGGAAGATTAACTTCTAGGAAAGAGACTGGAAAAAGATAAGCAGCCTATGTTAGCAGACAGATTCAAATAAGTACTAATCTTTTTTGAGGGGGGACCAGGGATCGAACTCACAACCTTGTGCTTGCCAGTCAGGTGCTTATGCCACTGAGCTAAATCCCCAGCCTTTTAATCTTTTAAAGTTTTTTGGTACAGGGGTTTGAACTCATGACCAAGTGCTTGCAAGGCAGGCACTTATGCTGTTGAACTAAATCTCCAGACCATAAAGACTAATCTTGCCTGGGAAACTGATGAAAAAGCCATTAGAATCACAAAACGTTCTTGCATACACACTGGACAAGCAAGAAAGATTATGAGGAGTGTTAATCAGCTCAGAGACACTGGGAAGCAAAGAGACACTAGGAAACAAAGTACAGTGAATTCTGGAATTTTGGCAGGAAAACTAATTTTAGAAAGCACTAAATTGTATGTTTTTTTTTTTTTTTACTAAATTGTATGTTTGAGCCTACTATATTTTATCTGGAAGTCTGGTGTAGAGGAAAAACAACGTCTATGACTACAGTTACTAAAACCACACACAATTCTAAAACCAGTCTGAACCAAGTATATCTATTATACAGTAGTCAAGTTTCTGTAGGACTTTCAGGCTTTTGAGTTTAGTGAGTTGTCCACTGAAGTTTCAGATATGTACTGGAGGGTAAATTCCTTATTAAGTTAACAAGGCCTCTGATCTTAGCTGGTACAGGCCATTTCTGTAACAAAAGGTTTCAACCAGTCAATACTTGTAAATTAGAAGACAAGCAGAGTCTAATAACTTCTTGAGCTTGCTCAAAAACTGCCATCCAAGTATTTATTAAAAGGTTTACATTAGTAGTTTAATTATAAAATGTTGAGTTTTCTAGTTTTTTCCTTAGTCCAGGCTGGCCTCCAACTACTGGTGATCCTCCTGCCTCAGCTGTCCGAGTAGTGGGATTACGAGCATGCACCACATCCAGCATAGTTTTATTTTAGTGGATTTGATTATCATTACTAATTCCAGAATATATCCTGTAGTCATTGAAAAATAATTTCTGATGGCTTTCTACTGAATAACGTTGTTTTACATAATTGTGATTACAAGAATAGCCTTTTACAAAATTTCTAACTACCTTATTCATAACTTAATAAGGGAAACTTTGCCCAGGTTGGTCCTGAACGTTTCAGCCTTGTCTTTTATCTGGGTTCCCCCTATTTGTAACCAAACCTTGCTAATTTATCACTCTCAAGTTCTAGATCATAATATGATTGCTCATTCTTATGACTAATGTCATCTACTCATCTGAGTTGGTTTTAACTCAAATCTGTTTAATCCTCTCTGGAAGTTTTTGTTTTGTATTTTTTGTTTTATATATTTTTTTTTTTTGGCATCTGTACAAAATGGTGGAAGCGTTTATCTCTGACCTTCCTGACAATCTAGTACAGTGTTAATGCATAAAAAGAACAGTAATATATTTAGATTGTATCAACTTAGTAAATGTGACATATTAAAAGATCTACCAGGAGACAAAGGAATGAAAACAGAAGGAATTGCAGAGGTCAGGGGACTCCAAAGCAAACTATTTCACAACCCAGGCTTGTTTTTGTTTGCCAGCTTTGACAAAAGGGTAATGGCATTTTTCTTCTCTAAGTTTTGTGTCTATCATTTACTGTACAATATAAAATGTCTAGCTTTGCTCTAGGAACCTTGAGATGTACCACTGAATAAAACAGACCTTGATCTTTGAATTCTTTTTTGATTCTTTTTTGGAGACAGACCCTTTCTCTATAGGTCAGGCTGGTCTTGAACTCCTGGTGATTCTCCTGCTCCAGCTGGAATCACAGGGATGTGCTATTACACTATGATTTTTTTTTTTTTTTAAAGCAGGGCTCACTATGCACAGCAGAAGGGCCTTGAATTCACTTATGTAGATCAGGCTCGCCTCAAACTCAGCCTCCTAAGTGCTGGGATTACAGGCATGCACCAGCATACCTTGCAATAAATTCTAATATTTAAAACAGGCATAGTGGTGGTTATTTATCTGCAATCCCAGCACTTGAGAGGTTGAAGCAGAAATGCTGCAAGTTAGAGACAAGCCTGGACTACACAGTGAGCTCAAGGCCAGCCTGAACTATAGTGAGGCCTTACAAATCATAAGCTTAATTTGTTAAAATTTTGAGACATGTTCTCATTATGCACTGCAGACTGCCCTTGAACTCTTGCCCAAAAGCTAGTATTACAGGTGTGCTACCATGCCTACCATTCATTTTTGAAAACAGCTGGCTTAGCACAGGCTGATTTCTGACATGGAATCAAGCAACCCTCTTGCTAGACTCTGACAAGGCAGTTTACACTTCCAATTTTGACTCGGGGGCTGAAAGTTTCCCTCATTTTTGAGCCAGTCTCACCTCCCATGTTCCCTTGTTCTATTTCGAGTTTTAAGATAACTATTTACAGGTTAGTCAAACCATGGCTTGAGGGCTACATGTGGCTCTAGACAGTTAATAATGCAGCCTCTTAACATCACAAATTTTTAAGAGGTGATTTTTAGACACAAGTATGTTCCAACATGGATGTCACAGGCAACTGCAGACTGTGTAAGAGGGAATAGTGTAGTGCCAACCACCACCACTGCTCATCAAATTAAATGTAGTGGGTACCAGATGTGTGTGCTTGTGACATAAGTGTGATTACCAACAATAGTTCAACCTCCATTACTCAATGTAGTCTAGGCAAGTAGAAAGTTTGGACACCCATGCTTTAATCATTCATTTCAAGTGCTGAGATTACAGGTGTGTCCCATCATGGCTAATTTAATCCACTGGTCCATTTAAAAAAAACCCACACTTGTAAATAACTTGTTTCCTGGAAAGTAACCCTCTAAGAAAGCACCACCCAATTTGGGAATCCACTTACCTAGCTGGCTATTCTCAAAATTCTCCTCAGTTTAAGATACCCCAAGCTTAAGACTTAAAACTTGTTTTTATCATTATGTAAGGCCACCAATGAATTATTAGTGTATATGCTAGGACTTGAAACCAGGGATCTTTGCACATGCTGGGCCAAGTATTCTGCCCATTTTACTCCTGAATGACCATAAATGAATCAAAGCTAAGTGTAGTTGCTTCAAGGCTGAGGCACAAAGACTGTTGTTACCATCAGGCAAAAGAGAAACAAAGGTCATCCAAATTAGGGAAAAGAAAAAAAAACAAAACAAAACAAAACAAAAAAACGCAGCTAGCCATGCAGTCCTAGCACTCAGGAGACAACAGCAGCAAAAACTTGAGCTAAGTTTAGGCAATGTCACATTTAAAGTTCCTCAAAATAATGGGATGGGGGTGGTTTACAGGAAGGCCCTGGCTTTCTTAGGCCACCAAGCACAAAAGGTAAATTGAAAGCTGGGTGTAACACTTCCCATCTTTAAGTACCAAGGGTCTGGAAGTTGAAGTCAGCATTAAAAATAGACTACATTAGACCTAAGAAACTAGATCAGAGGCACCAAGTGCCTGTGTGGCAAGCACAAGGCTGTGAGTTCCACTAAAAAAAAAAAAAAGAGAAAAAAAAAAAAAAAGACAAAATGGGCTGAACCACTCATGAGCTATTTTCTCCGGACAGCTAATAAGTGCATCAAAAATTCCTCATCAATAATCGCCAAAGAAATGCAAATCAAAATAGCACTTTAATTAGAAGGGACATTACCAAAAAGACAAACGCCATTTTGGCAGTGGTGTGAAGAAATCTCAGATGCTGTTGGGGGCCTTCCAAAATTTAACAGAACCCAACAATTGGATTTGGATAGAAAATAAATGAGCATGTCTGCTTGTAGCAGTATTCACAGGAGCCAAAATCAGAACCAACGTAGGTAGAAATCCAATGGGTGAATGGACCAAGGTAAAAGAATATTCAGAATGAAAGTTCTTGCCACTTGTAACATGGATGGAAACTTAAGACCTCATGTTGAATGAAACTCTAGGCAAAGGTATGGCATAGGTGAGTGATGGCACATGCCTGTTATTCTAGCACTTTGGAGACTGGCAGTTCAACAGCCTGAACTACATAGCCAGACTGCCTCAAAAACAGAATATAAAAGAAGTATGGTGCTGTCTCACAAAGCTGGAACGGGGGGGCCTAGAACCTGCATTTCTCATACGCGGTAGGTGTTGGGATGAGGCTGATCAATGGGCACTAAAACGGGGGCAAGGAATTATAGCATATATTATCAAGGAGCTAACAGTTCAGGAAATTCTTTGATGAACACTTTAGTGCATACATTTAAACAAGACAGGACACCAAAGTTATTCATAGAAATTTCATATATTAAATCCACATATGATTTATCTAATAAGAAACTTTGTTGTGCTGTACTTTTGATCTTCCATTCCTTTCACAGCATCTTTTATATCAGGGCTCAACATTCCAGGAGTAGGGTAGTCACTCAGTGACCACCTGGGATAGCTTTACAAAAATGCCACATACCATGATTTGGTAAAAAATTTCAGGTTTAACTGGAACACTTGAATCCAAACAGATGATTAAAGGCTTGTTAGCTAATCCTACACTGAGAAATTCTGACAGAAGAATGAAGTCCAGCCTCAGTCTTGGTAATTGAGATGTAATCTTTCTTAAAGGCCGGCCAGCTAAGAGCCAAGAACCTCCATTTAAAGAAGCCCATGCTATTTTGTGGTCTACCACTGAACTATTTGCCTAGCATATAAAAAGCCAATCTCCAATACCAAAAGAAGGAAAATCAGTAGACACTCAACTTTTATTCATGCTTTCCTGATTGTTCACACCAGCTTTTCATGCAACAGAGAAACTTATGGCATTAACCCTAGAAAAGGAAAAACACAAAAATTATAACTGTTTGTTACAATTCAACAGTACTTGAAAATATAACTAGTCCTTATAATGGTCAATCTCAGAAGCCAGATCCGTAAATGTTTTTTCAACAGAAATTCAGGTTCGGGATAGGATCATCATAGATATGACCAAAAACACAATATGTGCGAATTATGCCCTCTCCCCTCATCTCCACTCACAGAAATCAATCCACATTCGGCAGTTTCCTGCAAGCCAGCCTCTGGACACATTGTAACACTCACTACAGCCTGAAAAAGATCAAGCATTTTGAGTTGTTACGAACAGAACCATCATAAAAATCTAAGTTTATTATTTAATTTATAAATCTTGGTCTTATCTCAGAAGCCGAATCCGTGCATGTTTTTCTTCAGGTAATCAGCTTCGGGATAGGTTTCATCACTGATTAGACCAAATTTTCAGGATAGGTTTCATCACTGACTAGACTTACACCCTTGGTTCCATTACTAGCATGGGAAACGCCATCACAAGTTTTACATTAGAAATAAGTTCTAAGCCACATAACTTACTTAAAATGAAACAGCTGGCCAGTAACATGTACAGCTTCACTGTTGTGTATCAACACCCAAGACACTGTTCAACGACAAAAATTTCATGTAGTCTACATTCAAATACGGAACCACATGCTTAATCATTAACACTAGGTCCAGTACACACCTGTGGTCACTGTCAAGTTTTGTGCACGTATTTTTTCACTGACGATTCTGGCAGATCCTTTGGAATTTTCTCATGCAACTATTAAAAAAAGAAAAGCGAATTTCAAATGATGCACATTTTTCATTCTCGTAACGAAGCTTACCCTTTTAGTTTGAAAAACTTAGTTTTTACCTTGGCATTTGTACGTAAACTTTTCTCTGCATCTCTGCAAAACGGCGACATTGCTCCTGCAAGGATGCGCTGTTTGAAATTAAACATTACAGAACTCAGTGTTTGTTTTCAGCACTAGCCCTTCCCATTCGTTAATCCGAATTGTACACAACGTCGTCAAGGAACCAAATAGCTTCGAATACGACATAAAGTCAGGATTATTCCTGCTGAAACAACCTGGCGACATGAAAATATTGTCTGTGTTAGCAAATGCTTGTTGCTTTCTTTTTTGTATCGGAAATCGAACTCACAACCTCGAGCTTGTCCGGCAGGCTCTTCTATCGCTGAGCCAAAAGTCCGCTCCATGCTTGTTGCTTTTCAACTAACCTCCCACGCCAAATCCCTAAGCGTAGCTTTCCCGCTGGCAGTTACTCAGCGCTGCCGGCAGCGCACGGCCCAACCTCCCCAGCCTCAGCTCCACACGTGTCTGCCCGCTGTAAGCAACTTCTCAACAACACCCTGGGCTCAAAACCGACATCAGAGCACTGAGGTCCAAACTTTTTCCTGCGCCACCATTTCCCGCTTAGACACCAGGCCCACAAAACCCACTCACGTAGAACTGACGTACCCGTTAGCAGTTCCCGGCGTAAAAGAACGATACCTGCTCCCTGCAGCTCCCTATATAGCCTCTTCTGAGTCAGAGCGAGGCCGCCCCGCCCTCTCCCCCTTATTGGAAGTGCGAGAGGATGGGGGCGTGACCTTTCCTTGCCGTGAACGAGCGGAAGCGCATGCGGCGTCTCTTTTCTTCAGGGGCTGTCCCGGGGCGTGGTGCGCGCACCGCTCCCCCGACGCGTGCCCGTCCATCACCGTAGCGCGCGCCCGCAGGCGCGCTGCGCCGTGTTGCTTGTCTGGCAGGCGAGCCGGCCCTACGTGGCGTGGGAGTGGCGCCAGAATTCAAACAGCCGCGGTTGTGGGCGAGGCCGCCGCTTGCACCGCGTCAAATCCGCGCAGGGCTGACGGAAACCGGGAGTGTGCTTGAGTTCTACCGCGTGAGGCAGCTTCAATTTAGTGCCGAGCCGAGAGGGCGCCGCACAACCTAGTGGTGGCCGTTGGAGGAACTGGAGCACAGTGGCCGCCGCGCGATCAGAGAGGGAGACTGGCGGGCAGACATGCTGGTGTGAAAGAACTGGGAGAGTGTGGGTGCCTCCAGCAGACGCCAGCCGCTTTCCTGTGCCGGGCGCTGCCTTCGCTGAATAACCAGCCCGTAGAAGCCTTCCGCGGACAGCAAGCCCGAGAAAATAAATACTGATTTTCCCTGTACGGAAGGAAACTACAGTTCATAGCCACGTGATTTGTCGAAGTTCACACAGCTGAAATACTAGGCTATTTTTAAATTTTTTTTTTGTAGGAATGAGGTATACTGAGCGCAATAGAAATGTTAAATTAAGAAGTATCCCTTAATATTTCATCCAGATAACAAAGTTAAAAAGCAATGCATTCAATAAACTACCATACACAAGTGAAAATATTTATGTGCGCATATGAGATTTGACCATTTAAGCAAGAGGGTTACTGGTTCAGGGCCAGTTGGTGCAACATATCGAGACTGTTCAAAAAACAGAAAGCAAAAAGCTGGTGCTTCGAGTTTGCCTAGTAGGTTAAGTGTGAGATCCAGGGTTAGATCCCTGGATCTAAGTGAGAAAAAACAAAAACAAAATCAGGTCTTCGTTTTTTTTTTTAATTTCACTGTAAGTATTAATTACAACTACATAGCCAAAACCTGTCTAAAAGCTGAGAAAAAGAGAAAGTGAGAGCAATACAATAAAAGAGTGGAAAGTAAATTTCTTTAATAGGAACCTAAGTGATAAAATATTTACTTGGTTGGGCTTTATGTTGTTTTTTGTATTGTAATGCACAATATAAATTTGCATATCTTCACTGGTTTAAAAAACTAAAACAGTAACGTATGAAAGTAATGCAAGATTTCTTTTCCAGATCTCTGGCAATTTTCTCAATTCTACTCTCCAGCAGTTAACTACTATTAACAGTTTTCAAAACTTTCTATGTTGGGGCTGGAGATTTAGCTCAGCGGCATAAGTGCCTGCCTTGCAAGCAGGCAGTCTGAGTTTGATCCCTGGTACCGATAAAAGCAAAAAAGACAAAAACAAAAAACAAAAAACCCCAACTTTCTATGTGTATACAAACTATGTATCTAAATTTTCACATACAAATGGATCTGTGTATTCTTGCAATTTGCTTTTCTTTCTTATAAATATGGTAGACATCATCCCATATGAATACATATAGATGTCCTTATTCCTTTGTAACTGTTTTGGCGGGAAGACAAGGTCTGGCTATGTAGTTCAGAGTAGCTTTGAACTTAGCAGTTCTACTGCAACAGCCTCCAGAGTGCGAGGACTACAAATTGAATTTTGTTTGTTTGTTTGAGACAGGTTTTGCTGTGTAGTTCAGACAGGCCTTGAATTCAGTATGTGTTTTAGGCTGTCCTTGAACTCATGGAGATTCTCCTACCTCTGCCTAATCAGTATAGGGATTACAGGCATGCACCACCACACCTGGCTACAAATAGGGTGCTAACAAGCAATAAGGACCATTTATGCATCACCCTTGACCCTAGGGAAGAAATCACAATTATGGTGTAAATATTAAAACAACTCATGTATTTACTTACAGCGAATGTATGTATTAATGTGACAACTTATCTGCTAATAGTAGAAAATAATTCAATAGTAATTTTACCAAGTTCACTATCAAAAGTTTAAAATTGCTTTATGATTTTACTATTAAAGATATAAGGCTGGGAATGCGGAAAACTAAAAGGAAATTTTAAAAATTTTATTTATTTATTTCGAGACAGGGTCTCACAGTGTAGTTCAGGCTGACCTCAAATTCACTATGTAGCCAAGGTTGGTCTTGAACTCACAGTGATCTTCCTGCCTCAGCCTCCAAGTGCTAGGATTACAGTAATGTGCCACCACACCTGGCTCACACCCAGTTTAAATTTTAAACTATGATATGCAAATGAGGAAAAAGAAATTGTACAAAGGATCTAACTGGGTATTAGGAGGATGTTTATAGAATTAAGTAAAGATAAGAAAAATAGAAGGTTTAAAAGAGAAAAGAAAAATACAGGAAGTAAAATTAAAGGAAAAAGTTTAAAGAGGAAAAATTAAAAGAGAAGAGGGAAAATAAATCAAGAAAAAAAGAAGCAAATGAGATTAGACACAAGGAAGGACAGTGGAAAATTCCTCAAGTCCCAATAAACTTGAAGAAAGGAGGAAAAGAAAGAAGAAAAAAATTAAGACTGCACACTAAGAAAGGCAAAAACAAAAACTGAAAAAGAAAACAAAAACAACCTCAAACCAAACAAACAAAAAATTTTTTTCTGTGATTTCAAATGTGTGGTTTCCTTGAGGGCTTTATAATTTTGGGGGTAGTGTGTAAGTCAAAATGTGTTCCTGCTCACTCTGGTAGATAAAAAAGGCAGTCAGGCCAGGTGTGGTGGTGCACCCCTGTAATCCCAGCACTCAAGAGACTCAGAGAGGAGGATCACAATGAGTTTGAGGCCATCCTTGGCTACATAATGAGATACTATCTCAAAAAAAAAAAAAAAAAAAACCCTCACATTGGGCTAGATGCAGGATCTAGCAGACAAAAGGATTAGAATGAGGGTGACAATACCACAACTTTCAAATCCACAGGAATTCTAACTGAGTGTGGCTTCTGGCCATGGGGATGAGGGCCTGTGTCCTTTAGATTAAACCCCTTAATATCTCTTTACATTCTGACTATGGCTTCCTGACCACAGCTGTCTACCATGTCTGGCTTTCATGCAGACACCATGGGAATGTAGCATGGGGATCCCTAGAAGCTATCCTGTGGCTGCTCTAAGCCTTTGGTCCAAACAATCAACTCATGCTTGGAATGGCATCCAACAAAGCACTCTCTCCAGAGGGCATAGTGGGCATTTGGGTTGGAGTCCACCACTAGCTTGGGCCTTTTGAAGGATTCACATGGAAGCAGAATCCTGTACTCTCCCAGCAGCTCACAGCACCTATTGGTCCATTCCATTGCCCCATATCTCCCAGAAACCCTCTGGAATCCCCAGCTTTCACTTTGTCTCTATAGATTCAGCCTCCCTTTCTTACAAGCTGGGAGCTAGGAGCCAAGGAAAAAATGTAGATTGTCCCTTTTCCATGTTGCATTCTGTCTCTTCAATTCTTCTGTAGATTTTAATTAATTTTCCTATTATAGGCTTCCTGATTCCCAGGAATCTACCTTTATTTTTTCCAACTTTTTTTTTCAGGGTCTGGATTCTGAATCTTTTTTTTTTTTTTTTTTTTTTTTTTTGTCTTTTTTTGGGACGGGGTCTCGCTACGCAGTTCAGGCTGCTCTGGAGCTCACTTTGTAGCCCAGGCTGGTCTTGAACTCGCAATGATCCTCGCACCTCAGTCTCCCGAGTGAGACTGGGATTACAAGCGTGAGCCACCATGCCCGGCTTGGATTCTGAATCTTGAAGAGGATGAGTTGTTGTTGCTTACCACTCTGCCATTTTCCTGGAAACCCCCTGTGTTCACCAGAATAAAGGATCAAGCTAGCTCCATCTGAGATATCTGAAAGACCACCCAAAGAAGTAAGCTGCTCTTGTGAACCAGTGGAAGACCACAGATTCATCTTCAAAAAGCAAGACTCCAGTTCTGGCTTCACGGACTGATAGATGGTCACTGTAAAGGGACTTTGGTAGCCCATCTGATATCCCTCTTTCTTTCCACAGGAAGGATGACAATATGATCTGCTCTTTGTCATATTTAGGTTCTATATCCCCAACCAAATAGTAAATTTACTCAATGACAGTTTCACCATGATGCTTTCTATTAAGCAGGCAGTTCAATAGTTCTTCACATATAGACACTGTCTTAGTTACTTTGTGATCGTCGCTGAGACAAAATACCTGATGCCCAAGTTGGGAAAGGAAAGGTTTATTTCTTACAGTTTTTGGAGGTTTCAGTCCACACTCAGTTGGCTCCAAGACAGGCAGGCATGGCTGGGCTGCAGTTCATGGTGGCCACCAACAGCAAACTCAGACCAGCAAAGAGAAAAACACACCTTCTTCCTGCCATTACATCATATCCTGGCTCCACCCCTATGTGGGTGGAGCAATGACACTATCAATCCAAGCACTAGACAATGAACCATCACAAATATACAATGCAAGCTCTTGAGGCCTGGGGGACACACACGTAAACCATGACAGACACCAATTCTTCTCTTACCATCTTCTGACAGGCTTTTTTCCCACCCACCTAGAGAGCCACAAGCATCCAAGGTAGTTAGCACAAAATCCCTAGCAGGTAGGATCTATTGTGGCTTTGAGGAGGAAATGGAGGTGTGAACATAGAGATCTCCACATTCTTAGTGCCCCATAAGAATTATAGAAAATTAGACAGGAGATTAGAATGTGGCAAACTGGCTGGGCAAGTGGGCATGGCCTGTCAGTCATAGAGTTCTAGGACACTGGAGCAGAACATTTTCCAAAGCCCTGCATCTGAAACTGTAGCAGAAAATGCTCCCTCAGTAGTCTGATTGTTGCTCAGGTGACAGTTCCTGTAACAGTTCTGTTTGCTTCTGCCTCCTGGAAATGACTGTGATGCATATTGGAAAAACCAATCAATGACAGCCAAGTACTCTACTTCTTTATTTCCCCTTTCAATCCCATAAAAACTTACCTCCCTGGGCCTTCAAGGCCTGCCATTTTGAGG